GCAGATGAGCTATAGCAGATTACTTTAAGTGAAGAAGATTAGAGAGGGGGGAAAGAGCTGCTTTTGCTCTTTGGTTTGTTCTTTTTCTGCATGTGTCAGTATTCTGTGAATACAAACCTTCTTTATGTTCAGTTAATTCCTTCCTCTGTGTTTGTTTGGATCTTTCACAAAGCATCACAGAAGAAAGAAAAGGGCATCTAAAAGCAGGAACATGGTTGCAAAGTCACAAGAATAGGCAGAGATAACAACCTGGAATGTTAGGAGGGGGTGTTTGGGGCGTAGGGGATGTTGTTCCTTTTTAGCTTTATCTTATGAAGTGGATTAGTTGAGAATATTCTTAATAACTTGCCTGGCCTACTTAGTTCCATTCAATGAATTCTAAAAAAGAAAGAAGAAAAGGCAGGTAGCTGCACGGGTAGCAGGAGATGCAAAGCCCAGCCTTCTGTGGAGCTCACGCACTGTCGCAGTCTCCAGCGGAGGTTCTCTGGTGCCTGACAGTGCAGGTAAGCCCACACTGCTGGGTTTTTCAGCGTGGGCACAAAGGATTCTTCTCTTTGTCCGGTCCAATTCCATGTAACCTGGGAACTTAATCACCGTGGAGACTGCACACTCTGTCAAACTTGGCTGAAAATGACTGCCAGATTCAGTAGTTGGTAGGGGACTCATCAATGGGGATATGTACAGCAAGATCATATTTACCTTGTTTATTGACAAAATCAAGCTAAATGATCTCTCAATCTCTTCGTCTCCTTATAATGACAGTAAATATAATTAACAGCTTAACTTGACATTTGACTTGAAAATCAGTCTCACAGGAAGAAGAGATGCATGTTAATCTTTGCAGTTTGGGATTCAGAGAAGCCGGAAGAGCTGTTGGCTGCTGCTGAGGTGGTTAAGACCTGAGCAGGGGCCGCAGTCTGCAGGGACCGCTTTCCATGGCCAGCTCAGCCGGAGACACACCGCTGCGTCTTTTGCCTTGTCTTCTAAGGGCACAGCTTTGTGCTCTGCATAAGCACTTGTTCCCCTCTTGTCTCTCCTGGACTTGGAGCTGTTGGTAGTTCTCAGTCAAGCCTGACAGACAGGTGGAGGTCCCAAAGACCAGCATTTTCACCATGTTTCATGGAAACTGGTGACCAAGAATCCTGTGGAACCTTACTGCAGCTCACACAGAGGTGAAAATCGTACTGAAAAAACTACATGTGTGGGCAGACACCGGAAGATTATGTGGGAGCCTGTCCTTACAAATACCCCAGCCCAGGAGAGTTTCAGTGGGAGCTTATTACCAACCATGTGACACAAGGCTCTGGCAGGCAAGATTTAGTCTTGGGGCTGGCAGAAGCACTCCTTACAGTTGCTGTACAGAATTAAATAGATCTCCACAGCAGAGAGAGGGCTGCTTCCTTTCCTGGTTTTGTAGCTTTTGCTGTGGGTTAACAGCCTCAAGGAAAACAGCAAAGGGAAAGCAGTTGATTTCCTGATGCTACAAGCGTGTATGGTAGGCATTGCGCATTGGCTGCTTATGTTCCACTGAGGTCTCGGGCTGTGTGATGCAGCCACGATGGAGCTTTAAGACAGGAAGAATTCCAAAGCAATGCAACTACTGATATTTGGAAAGGTTTCCTCTCCTCTCTTATTAGCAACACTTTCAGGGTTTATTGTAGAATGTGGTATGTAACTTTTTTTTTCCCTTACCCCTCCGCACCCCCCGTTCACAAACCACAAACTCCACAGATTTTTTTTTTTTTGTCTTTGTAATCAAAAAATTGAAAAGCTTAATTATCTTGCACAACCAGTCTGAGGTAGGAGCGATATGCTATGCATTTCTTAAGCCTATTACCAAGACTTAACATTTTGGCCTAAGAATGCACAAAAATAGAACATATAATAAGTAATATTACCAAGACTTAACATTTTGGCTTAAGAATGCACAAAAATAGAACATAAGTAAGTTTGGTCCCCAGTAGCAAGTATTAATTGCTTGTATAAGTACTTTATTATTATTGACTTGGAGGTCAGCGATGTTTTTGCTTAACCTGTGCTACATCAGAGTATATACATGCACATACCTGAATTATCCTTATAAATGAATAATAGCCTTTAGTGTTTTTTCCGTGTGTCTCTGACTTTGTCTCCTCTTTTTTCTAACAATGCTGGTTCAAAGAGGGATTAATCTCTTTTTCCTGAAAGTTTAGCAAATGTTTTTTCCATAGGAAGTAGAAACCTTTGGTAACAATCAGAGACCTTATTCATTAAGATTTTGTGAAAGTAAGCTTGCTTTTTTTTTTTTAATTCATTTTAAGTGGTTTTAAAAGTAAAATGGCATAACCTTTGGGACAGAAATCTTCTGAATATAGCCTGTTGTTGTGCTACCTTACTACGCCTGAAGATGACCCAAACCAAGAAAGAGCTGCCTGCTCTAAAAGCAGTAGGGTACTAATTCTGAAGCATTTGTTACACTGACGTTGTTCCCGTGTGAATGGTTCATAAAGAAAACCTTCACTCATTTAAAAATATAAACTAATTAAAAGTATGTATGTTTGATTTGAGTACTTTATTTTAAATTTACTTAAACCAACTTAGGCTATTCTGGGTCAAGTCACCCCATAGACTTATGCTCTTAGGGTGTGTGGTTTTTTTTTTTCTAATTTTGGTTTAATGAAATGGTTCTGCTTCTAGTTAAAAGTGACAACTTAAACAAATCTTTGTAAGCGATACTTCCTGTGCAGTCTATAAACATGTCAGATTTATATTGGAAAGCTCGTGGTTAAGGCTGCAGAGGCTGTTAAAATAATAATCAAAGGATGGAAGAAGATCCAGGAAGGAAAAGAGAGGTGTGAGAGAGAATTATGAGACTATAGAGGAATTTGCTATAATGTTGTAGTCTTGTAAAGATGTGGCTGTCTCATGTACCTCTGCTGTTGTGGAGGCTTGGAGGATCTTGTCTAGGTAATGGCTACTGAAGACATACAGAGCCTCTGGATAGTCGGTGTTTACCAGCATGGAGGAAAACTAACATTGTAGTCAGATTGGGCAGTGTGTTTGATTTCCAAGTCTTCAGATGTTACAGAGAGCGGTAGGTTTGTATTTAGGTCTGTCAAACAAATCATAATCCTGAATCTTGCCACCGATTCAATGTGTGGTTGTTATCAGGGGTGGGACTGTTGACTTCAGTGAAAAATGCGGAGTGGAACTGGTGGCTTGCTGCTTGGGTTTCTAAGTTGTTCTGAGTATAAGCTGGTGTAAATAATAGGTTAATGTTCATCTTAAGTTACTGGTAAGCTTTTAGCTGGTTGTGTACAGATTCATAAAATCATTAAAATTTTCTTGAAAAATCAGTGTTTGCATCCTTAGAACTAATGCGTTTTAGACTGGGAAAGGCTTGTCTGTGGCAACATCGCTGTACTTTCCATGCTCTTGTACGGTTTGAAGCATTGGTGGCAGTGCACTCTTGTTTGGCTTTGGGAGTAGGTAGTCGGGTGCAATTATTAATAACGCAGCCATTATCAATAGCCCCTAAAGCCAAGAAAAAGTTCTGCAATCTCTTGATGCTGATTCAGCGCAGAGCAAAGCCGGGGCCTCCCCGCTGCGTACGCAGGCTGAAGATGGAAGAGAAGGCCGGGCGGGTGTCTGGTGTGATTTGGCACAGCAGCTCTTGTGGCGAGTGCTGTGAGGTCCCAGGTTAGTGAGTCGCTGTAGCAAGACCTGTCCATCTTTTTGCTTTCTTAGTGGAGAAGGGGGTTGCGGGTACAGAAGGCAGAATTTGGATTGTAAAAATCCACTCTTTCAAGCGGGAGTATGCAATACAGACTTGGAGATATTTTTGGTCTCTTTAAAATCAGATTTTTAAAAAATCCTGTCTATGCTGCATGCAGGAGTTTAGAGGGCCCTCACATTTGTTTTCTTTGTCTGCAGCCTAATGAGGAAAAAAGAAAGTGAGGTGAGAGGAAAGCAATCCTTTGCTAAAGCTAAATATAAATCTCCTAACCCTGGAATGTCTGATGCAGTATGCAGTTTCACTTTAGCTACTTGCCTGACTGTTGGCAGGCTCAAAGTCAGAGCTTCGTGGGTCTCTCTCTGGTCATAATCTTGCTTGAAATCAAGTCCAGCCTTCATCATCTCTAAACTCAAACAGCACAGGGTAAACCATGGATTATGAGTGTTGGCGTGACATCCAGCCGGGAATAAAGGCAGAGCATTCCTCTGTGTGGAGGTGTAGTACCACCCCCCCCCCATGAGAAGGCGGCCCCCCCCCCCCCCCCCATGAGAAGGCAGGGTGACATTGAGCTTCGGAAGGTAGAGATGATAGGCTGTGACGTAGTAGACTGAAATGGTGAGGCAGAAGGGTGGTCCAGCATTTTTAAAAAGAAGGGGGGAAAAGAGCACGTCTTTGAGTCTGACAGGCCTTGTTTAAATATTTTTTTTCTAGGTAGAATAATGGTGAATTCTAATAGTGAAGGCCTGATAGCAGTGATGACAAGCACCAAGGCTTCAGGGTAAATCATGCTGGAGGAGGTATCAAGTGCCTTCTGCTTGCCGCAGGCTGTTTCAGGAGTTTTGCAGAGGGAATGGTAGGACATTGTGTCTCGGCCACAAGGTTTCTGGTGGCTGGTAGGAAAGAGAAGCCCAGCAAGAGCATGTTCTCAGGGAGCAGTTTGCTCTTAAGACAGGCAGGCAAGTATTTAAAGGATGGAAGATGCTGTCAGTCAAAACCAAGGCTTATGTTATTGCCTGCTTTGTGAGCTACAGTTTCTTAGCTCTGTTTACCTGCAGTGACTTGCTTAGTTCACTGCAGTAAAGTTTTTCTAGATTGCTAGTGAAGGTTCTGTCACATTGAAAATGTTTTCCTCATTCTGAACCAAGAATGCAATTGTAATTCTACTTTTTTAGTGTTTCAGATTCCCAGTACTCTTGCTTTTGAGAGACATTTTGATTATTGCTTGCTGCTCAGGCTTGTGGTAATACCTGCATGTAAATAAATCTGTGTCACTTTATATTTCCAGGTCCACTGCCCTTCTTTCCTCAGTGGAAGCTGAAACATTATGATGTAATTGTAGGTGTTTTGTCAGCTCGACACAATCATGAACTGCGCAGCGTTATAAGGAACACTTGGTTCAAGCACCTGAAACAACATCCTGCACTGAGCCAACGGTAATCTCTAACATTTTGTAATCTGGGGCTTTGTGAAGGGGGGCATGGAAAGACTATAATGCTGAAATATCTTGACTTAATCCTTCGGTTTTTGAAAGTATTACCTCTTTTTGCTTTATTTGTGAGCATCTTGTACTCTGATTATTACTGAACAGATTTTTAAAAAATTTATAAGACTCCTGATTGTTCTGGGCTGGAACTATTTTTTATACAAGAAATAAAATGTAATTGTTTGACTGATCACTGCTGTTTGTTTTTGCAGTTAGTTGCCACTGTTCATTAGCGATGTGTAAGACTCTCCCCTTCTTGTGTTACAATGTACGCTTTGTACAGATGCAACTTGAAATGCTTAGTAGTCCAGGGTACCTGAAAGCAGTCAGGATCACATTTGGTGAGAGAACCACAGAAAACTCTTACAACAGCCTCAGCTGTGAAGCTTGGGGTTGTTTCTCACCGCACCAGGTACACCAAACTGGTGCAGCATGCATGCCCAGCAGAATCCTTCCCGACTGCTTGCACAGCCCGGACAGCCCAAAGACAGCACTGTTTTTGTTGAGAAAGTTCTGCTGCAGTTCATTGCTGGAAACAACGTCAGCCTCGATAGGCCTCGCCTTGGTGCCTGCTTTGCACTGACATAACCCTTTGCAGTTCACAAGTTGGTGTCAGTGCGCAGTTTGCAGTGGAGCGTAGCTTCTTCAGGCCGGGAGAAACGTGACCTTTCACAGCTTACATGGAGTCCCAGGAGGATGTTTAGCTGTTAGGGGAAGGACTGGGCTAAGGAGGATCCTCTTCACGGAGAGGGTGGTGAGGCACTGGAACAGGTTGCCCAGAGAAGCTGTGGATGCCCCATCCCTGGAAGTGTTCAAGGCCAGGCTGGACGAGGCTTTGAGCAACCTGGTCTAGTGGAAGGTGTCCCTGCCCATGGCAGGGGGGTTGGAACTAGATGGTCTTTAAGGTCCCTTCCCACCCAAACCATTCTGTGATTCTTGCTCTTCATACTGCTGCTTGTCCCCTGACTGTGGCACAACCATGGCTGGGGCTGGAAAGAGCAACCTGTTGTTTAGCTACAACCTGAAGCTGAGACATTTCATCCTAATGGATAGTCAGGAGTCCTTTGTGGCTCCTTTGATGCTATGTGTCTTTTTTTTGTTGTTATTTTTTTCTTTGTCTTTTGAATGCAGAATATTCAAACAATCTTGAATTAATAACAAAGCCAGGCAGGGCTTCAGGATCCTTCAGTGTTGCCTTAGGTCTTTTTCTCTTTAGTTGAATCCCATTCCTAGTTGCCAACCTTCCTGCGCCTTCGTTATGAAATATAAAAGACTAATGTGGATTTGGAATTGAGCCCCTAGGAGGGGATTAATGTGGTTGCTTTACATAGAGACCCTCATTGCTGATTTTTAAGGGGTTCAAAATCTTAATCCTGTGAAAGACAGGCCATTGTGATGAATTAAGTTTGTTGCAGGTGGAGGGAGGAAGGAAGAGAACTGGTGTTAATAAAACCAAATTATTTTAGTGTCCTTGTGAAGTTTATAATAGGTGCGCATGGTTGTGCTGTGCCAGTGGAGGACAGAGAAGACCCCTACTCCTGCAAACTTCTGAACATCAGTAACCCAGGTATAGAAATTAACTTTTAAAAATTCTGTGATCTGAACTAGAGCTAACCATCTCTCATGATAAGACTAGTTTGGGGTGCTTAACTGAGACAGCCGGTCCTTAAAATAAATGACGCCTAGAACTTGCTGTCTTAATGGTTCCGTAACCTTCCTTTAAGAACCGTGTGCAGGCAAGAAAGTGAGATATCTTTGGGGGCGTAAAGGGGAGGCCTTTGACTTGTAGTGGGTTTGCATTTGTCTTGCATGGAGGCAGTCTCTCCCATATAACAGGCGTTTTTACTTGATCCCCATGTAAAATGAAGCTGGAGAGAGCTGGAAGGACCTGGTCGAGTGTCGTATGTGAAGACAGTAGCAAGGTGCTGAAGTCTTGAGTGTCAGGTGGACTTCTCTGGTGATAAAGTGAATTCTAAGCAAGTCTGGCTGATAGGTTTTCCAGATTCTGCCCTAGAAAGGGAACGATTAAGGAATGTACTGTGGGGAAGAAATTAAATGCTGCCATAAAAAATTCCTAACTCAAATTGTAAATTCTTCCTGTTGCCTTTTTTTTTTTTCCATTTTTATTCTTTAATTGTAAGTTCACTAAGGACTTAAGCCGTGATTCACCATAAAATGAAATTTCTATTACTTTCTCCTTGAATGGCAACATTCACTGCTTCATTCACAGTCTCCCACAAATAAGTGGTACCTCAGGGCTTAGGGAGGAGTTGATGCCAAAAAGCAGGCAGCTGAATTAAGGGGACGTGTGTGCCATTTTGATACATGAATAATTATTTTAAAATTATTTTAATACACTAATATACAGGTATTCATGCAATCAAACAGCATTTTTGTTTCCACTCTGTGGATTTATTGCGTTTCTAATATTTTCTCTGCGGACACGTAGCATTGATTTGCAACTGCTGGTAGCCAGCAGATTGCTGCATCACTCCGAGTTTCTCCTTGCTGCAGTCTGCAGCCAGCTGTATTTTCTTCTCCTCCAGCGTTTGCTTATCCTCGTGCTCCTGCGCGAGCTAGGCTCATTAATCGGAATGCTTTGCCTGTATCTAGTGTGCCTTGTGTATATCCCGTTCGAGAACTGTGAAGCCGTCTCACCAACCTACCTCTGTCCTCTCTTCTTCATACAGTTTTGAATCAGGAAATCGAAGCATTCGGTCTCCCTGAAGACGTACCTTCTGCGCTGTCCGAGGACAGAATTGTCAGTGTGAACTTTCGTGTGCTTTACCCCATTGTCATTACCAGTCTCGGGGTATTTTATGAGGCTGATGGAGTGGGATTCCAGAGGAACATCACTGTAAAACTGTACCAGGCAGAACATGAGGTAGGGTATTGTAGTTCTTTTTTGAAAGTGGGCTAAAGCGTGTTGTCTCTTTATCGTGGGTTACATCCTTACAGACAGCAACATGCTGTGTTGGTGATTTAGAAGGACTTAACTGGCAAGTTCTAATTGTGTTTTTCTTCTGTTGCATTGTATATTATTATTATTTCAAAGATACATATATACACATACATACACACATGCAAGAGATGAACAGAGGAAATTCTGTAAGTTAATTTAAATGCCCTTTTGAAAGAGTGCCTATATTCCAAGGCACAATTTTGATTGCCTTTGAGGATTTAAAGCACTGATAGGTATTAAGGAATAAAAAAATAAACTGTTGAATATATCTCAAACACATGTGCAGAAAGAGACATTTGGTGCCTTCAAGCAGAGAGATGCCGGACAGCTGTCATTTTTTCTTCTTTGTCTTCTGGCAAGTTAGTTTGAGATTTCTAGAAACTGGTATTATTTACAGGTAATAATCAAACCTCAGTGATACTCCCCCCACTCCCAAGCTGTTCTGGGTTTGATAGAATAGCTTAGTACTAACGTGGAGAAAAAAAATCATTGATCATGATTGTTGCATGTGGTGTTTTGCCTTTATCTCTACCAATAACTTGATAAGTCAATTTCAAGATTTGGGGCTCTGCTACACTAGAAAGAATTTTAAATTTAAGAGAATAATTAAAATTAAGTACAGAAAACACATGCAAGCATGGCTCTTATTATGAATGTCCAGAGCTGGGTTTAAATGAAAGAAGCATACTGTAACCTGGTTTATGCTTGCTAAATTGTAGAATTCTAAACGTTGAGAGCCTAGTGACTTGATCTGCATCAGGTTTTTACTTCCAGTGAAGGAGAAAACATAGTATCGTGGGAGTGCTTGGAGACCGTTTTCTGAAGGTTGGAGCGTGGCAATGCAGCATCGTTGTCGTTGGCGGTTATCTAAGAGCTGTCGGGTGGCCTGTGTGATACGGTAGCCGTTGAGTTGTAGGGGTCAGCGTCCTCTGTGCCAGTTAATGGTAGTCAGCTCTCGAAACAGAAGAGGGAAAACCTGTAGACTGGGAGATGAGTCCGAGACTTCCATATGATGTGCTCTGGTGGTGAGATTCTAGTTGAACTTGCACTCTTGTCCCGTCGTCACTTACTGCCACCGACACCTGAATTCTGTGGAGTCCGAGAGACTGTCGTGAGAGTAAAACTTGCGCTAAGTGTTACGCAATCCATAAGCCTCTTTCCATTGTAACTAAGGGAGGTGATCAAGCTTTGCATAATCTCACAGCACTTGTAATGTGTGTTTTGGGGGTTGTTTTCTTTCTGTTCTGTTGCTCGCAGGAAGCTCTCTTCAGTGCTCGCTTTAGTCCCCCGAGCTGTGGAGTGCACGTGAACAGACTGTGGTACAAGCCAGTGGAGCAGTTCATTTTGCCAGAGGTATGTGCAGTGTCGGAATTGCCTGTCGCTCTTCTAAGTCAGCTGGAGAGACTGACTGGTAAAACTGGCCTTTGCTTGAGGCAGAAAAGGTAAAGTGATGAAATTCAGAATTTCTTTTTCATCATCCTGTTATCACCAGTACTTATAAAGCAAAAGCCTAAAAAATACCAATTGATTTAAAAAGGACATTGTCAAATAGTAGCAATTTCAAAAACCTTTTCAGTTTATGAGTGGGAAAGGTACCTGCTTTGATTCTGTGGGAGAGTTTATCAGAGAACGCGACGTTTCTTTCTCCCTCCTGCTTTTTCAGACATCAGTACCCAAGACGGAGGGGGAGGATGGCTCAGGTTTCTAGAGAAAAGAGGTTTCCGCTTCTGATGTCTTGGACATAACAGCAAGATATTGCCTGTTGCCTTTGCAATGACAGTATTAGTTGAATAGTTGTAATCAGGAGAAGGCATTTGGGGGCTACTGAAATGTTGGTTATCCCTTTTCTGGCAGCACCAGTGAGGAGTTGTTCATTCATGGAACCGTGGGAGGAAATAAGAATCAAAACCCCAAGAAGATATGTAGTGGGGTCTGTCTGTAATATACCAGATGGAGTGTGTGGCGCACAGAAGACTGACATTTGGGTTTTTAAAACCTATCTCTAGCCTGTGGCTGAAGTGGCGTGGGTTGGTTGGTGTGGGTGGTTTGTGGTTGTTTTTTAAGAGGATGCCCCACAGAAACTTGTGAGAAGACTGCTTTTTGGGCAGTAATTAAAGTGTTGCTGTTCTTGCTTGTCCTGAGATACCATTAGCTAAGCTAATGAGCAGGGCCTAAAGTCTGCCTGCCTATTTATTTATTTTTAAAACCCTCTTTGGGGCTGGGGGTGTAGTCCAAGAGCAGGGTTTTGGTATAGGGATATAGGACCTACCTGTGGCTGCTTAGGAAAGAAGGTGATTAAGCACAGAAGGAATGGAATGTAGGTAAGAAAAAACCTGGTGCTGTTACAGTGAAGGTTCAGTGAACACAGATTG